AGCTACTTCCGAGTAAAATTATAAAAAATTTAAAAAATTGCATGTGACCATGAATAGGAAAATAATTTATCAACGTATTTCATAAGCAACACATAATATTAGTACTAGGTAAATGTTTCATGTTGCTGCGATTGGTATTTTTAGAGTAACAACAATACAAGTAATATCGTTCAATCGAAATTCATTGATGTTTGGTATCCAATTTCGTCAAAATTTATTTTTCTTACGCTTTTAGTGCGACGGCCCGCAAGAGAGTCGACACAAATACATCGTTGACGAATAAATTCTTGAACTTTTGACGTCTGTGACAACAGCAACAGTAGCTGTAGTTAACGTAGTTCGGTAGTTAAAAGGACTTCAAATAACAAAGCACTATGGTTTAATGTTAAACCAACAAATATAATAATGAGTCATACATGGTTAACACATACGAAACAGTAATTAGTAGGGCTGTGAATTTGATGTACTAAAGAACCTTAAAAAATGCATTAAAAATTTCAAAAAATGCAATAAAATATGCACTTAAAATGCAAAAAATGCGAAAAAATTCAATATAAAATGCCAAAGATTATAGTATAAAATGGTTTTTAATTTAATTTTATATTTATATTACTATTAGATACAAGGTATTATACATTAGTACATTAAATGCATAAATAAATGTTTATTTAATAAAAAAAAAAAAAATAATCATTAAGAAAAATAATCGAATTTGACTTTTCTATATGTACTATGTTTTAGTATATATTTTGTTAAAATAAGAAAAAAAAACTTTAATATATTTATTTTTAGGTACCTTTTTTAGTCTTTAGTCTTTAGAATTTGATTAAAAATACCAGAAAATTAACTAAAAAAGGAAAATATGATCTAAAAATGCACAAAAATGACCTAAAAAATTAAAAACAAGAAAAATGCAAAAAAAAATGCAAAATAAAAGTTGCGTAAATGGATTCGTAGTTACATAATTTAAATTATGTACTTACAAAGCTACGATTTATAATCAGCAAGAAAAAATGCACTTTTCTACAAATTCTCAGCCCTAGTAATTAGGTATCTGAGGACAGTGTGTGAGCTCTGGCCGAGAATAGTAAAAAATGATACTCGGAGTTACTGGCGATGTCAGGCGCACGGGCTTCACGACCAAATGAGTATTGGGGCCAATAAGCGGACTTATTCAAAATACCTGGGTAAATGGATACGGTATTAATAGGTAAGCATGGTAGCCATTTTGGATAAGGTAATATGCGATAGAGATTCTGGTGGATGCGGAAGAGTGTGTAGGATGATTATTCGAGAATAGTAAAGCTTGATTCTATATAATCAAAATGGGTCGCAGAATCCGTCTTCTTGAAATATTGTATTAATATCCGTTTACCTTATGATAATAACAGAATCAATATTAGTTTTTCGGGTGATTTACTATACACGTATACTATTTTTCGTGTGATTTACATATAACATTTTTTTTTTCGTTGCCGGCGATTAAAATTTGTGAAGAATCTAATGTTAAATTGTTGTCTTAAACTATACCGAAAGTTTTATATATTTTCACTAACAAAAATGAAACAAATTTTTGAGATTGTTTTCAAATTTGATCAACATTTAAAATTCAAACATTTGGATAAAAAACTATCAGTAAAGATTTCCCAGTTTTTCTTAAACGAATAAGAATATATATAATATAGTAAATAAAACATTTTATTTTCAATTTTCAAAATTATTGATCAAATTAAAAATTAACTTTTCGAAAACTTTACAAAAAAAATCAACACAAGAATATGAAAATGTCAACCAGCGATAAATTTTACAAAATATTATAAAATAAAACAATCTTTATAGAAGGGTATAATAATATTCATATTTAATGAATATTTCTACGATTATTATATGTTGAGAAAATAATATTCGATTTTCATGTACCGTAAATATTGTTGTTGTTTTTTCTTTTTCATTTGTCAAAAAACTTTTCAGATTTCCAAAAATCACATTCCAAAGGCACAAACTAGACAACATTTATTATCAGAATAAAATACAAGTTGATGATCGAAATAATCCCTCTAACCCAAAAATCACTCATCATTGCCCGCTCAGAACCTAAAATAATAATTTTGTAAGTAAAAACTTTAATTGTATTTATCCAATAAACGAAATCTATAATCTAATAATGATATTTGAAATGATTTAAGAACGTAATTCTATGCAATTAGCTTGGTAAATAGTACTGGTCCGACGGTTTTCGGGGCCCGGTGCAGAATTTTGTGGGGCCTCATACAAATATATTAATTTATTAATTAAAACAATTATTGTTTATATAAATCTATGTTTTTTCGTATTATTACATAACTAAATATATACTATAACTGTATTTCGAACTGTCATCGACGATAAACAATTTTACATACTATGTGCGTATAATACTTCAAAGCTATGGGTAATTGGTACCATCTTAATTTTCATCGATAACAACCCGTTTACTGAAAAGACCACATGACCACGCGAGTGGCCATTTGCGTACTGGGACTATATTATTTTTATTTACAAATTAAGTAATAATCATAATATATAATTTGTGGGGCCCAAGGGCGTATTTAGATATTTTTTTTTTTTTTTAGGGAGGCTGTGGTATTTTATCCAATTTAAATTCCCCAATTCAGCCTATTAAAAACAAAAGTTGGAAAATTATTATACAAAATTTACCTATAATAGCAAAAACAAGTAACAACTATACAACGTAAACCGATCACCGTGATAGTGTTATCGGTCGTCACCGTCATTTCTCGAAAATTTTTTAGCTTATAGGGGTTTGCATAACAATTGTACGGTGATGGAGACGCCATAACGCGTGTATATCAGTAAATCAATTCTAGGTAAAAGAAATCGAAATTGCAATAATGTAGCAGTACCGTACGTTAAAATTAAACACAATGAACCGATCTCAATGATATAATTGTTACAATCAAAATCGTCAGATCCTTTACATGAATAACTTGTTCGATGTTACTAATAATTCTTTATAAAATTATATTGAAGTTTTACGATTTACATCTGATAGGACATAATAAGCAGACTTAATAAACAATCCCTGGATTTCGGGGAGGGGGAGCTGAAGCCCCCTTAGCCCCTCCATAAATATATCCCTGTGGGGCCCCATACAAGCGCGGGGCCGGTGCGATCGCACCACTTACCCCCCCTAGGGCCGGCACTGCATTGGTAAATGAAAGTATACTTCGCACTTTAGATAGGATCTCAGTGTTTAATCAAGTCTAGACTTTAATTATTGAAAAAAAAACACTGAATAATAATATAAATATATAGAGAATAAATAAAACGAATTTGCAAATTTTACACTGATGAAGTAAAAAATACCATAACAATAACGAAAAAACATCGCACATGTACCAAGCGTACAATTCCTGGTTAAACTGGCAGACGCTTATGTAGGTACTGTTAGAATAATCAAATAAATAATTATTCTATATGACTATTGTGTATTGTGTTCTTAAACTAGGAATGCCAGCGTCTTAATGGGCATAAGGGTTTCCACGTGATGAAAATTTCATTATACTGAGAAATTAATTTATTTTCGAAGATTTCCACCCATTGTGTCGTATTGCATTGAAAACACAACCACTATATATAATGAAAATTATTCATACTTGCATTGAACATTTCATCGTTATCGCGGTAGCGACAGAACGATAGGCACTTGTAGGTTCTACAGTCACCAAAACGAATAATATTTCCGGACACTCCACAGAATCGATTTTGTATGTACACATATATCCGGTCCGTACAAACTCAATCTGAAATTTTGATGGATTGTAAATCATTTTTTCATATAAACATACAATTCGAAGATTGCACTCTCAGAGAATATATTTGAAAATTAAATGGTTTATTATTGAGATTACATTAATTGTTTATTGTATAAAATATTGATTATTGGGGTGTGTTGAGTATGATTCAATAATGTACATAAAGTAACATCATATTGTGCAATAAAAACAACATCGTTTTTTTTCTGCGAATGGGTAAATTACGTCTTATGTGTTATAATAACAGGGTCACTTGTATATAAGACTGATTCTTAGCGTACCGTAGGCATTACATTATAATATTATGTCTACGTTATGCGTTTAGTAAAATATTATTCATAACTGAAAGTAGTTTAGTAATTTTTGTCGAAAAATAAAATCCTCATCTGTGATAACGACACGATTTAACTATACGAATATGAATAACAGAATCCATTTAACAATTTTATCGTCTTTGAATCGGTACTTATTTACTCTTTGATTCTCATCAATAACAATTATAAAAATAACATCAATGCAATAACATCATCTTCATCAAAATTCAAACTTAAGTGTCCGTAGCCGAGATATCTAAAAAGTGACAGCATGACATAGTACAAAATAATAATCGAAAAAAAAATGTTCAACTAATATTTTCATTTTCAATACCTATCATATTCGTACATCTTTCTGCTTTCGAAGAATTATTAAAGTACAGTTACCCCGAGTATATTGAAAAAGGTATAAAAGTTATGGTTTTCATACACTTTCGTTTAGCAAATACTCTTAATTGATATGTTATAGAATGTTTATTAGTCGACGACATCGACACCCGTTAAATTACTTTGGGAAAAATATGAAGTTTTTTTTTTATAAAACGGGGAGGAAAGAGAAACACTCGCCCCCTCACTACCTCATCAACCGAGAACTTGTATCAACAAAACTATAACAAACGGTTAAACGCGTCGTCCAACCGACTAGGCACCGTTGCAACGGTATTCTTACATTAACATCAAACTACGAACGATATACGCGCCGGGTGGGTTGGTCGGTGAGGGTGGGCTCGGTTGTGCGACGAACGGATGCAGGTTACCGTGTCACCCTGTGCCCGGCACCACGGCGAACGCCCCTGGCCATTCCCTCAAGGCTGACGTCGTGCGTCGTCGGGTCGACCGCTGAATCTCGCGACAGCCATCGAGTCTACGATGGGCACATCTATTCTCCAGTACGATCGAATCCGACCTCGCCCGGCCTCGACCTAACAACCGGTGCCCAAACAGTACACGTCGTACACACCGCGTACTACACAGCCATATCGTTGTATATTATTCTCGTCCGTTTCCCCCCCGTGTCCGTCCCGACCGGCTCGTCACGCGTTCCGAACAGTCAGCGGTCGTGACCACGACCGTGGTCAGTGTCAGCCGCGAGACCACATGGGAAACACCGAGAGCAATGTGGCCAGTGGCGTCAAGAAGCAGGTGGACACGTCATCATTGCAGATTTACAATCTGGTCGACCTGAAAGGTAAGCGAGTGTCGTGTAACACCGTCATGTCCGTCACGGAATCCAAGTGTCGATATCGGATCCGCGTTAGGTGGACGACTCGAGAAAGCTTATTATGTTCCTTTCAAAATGACGTGTAAGAAGATGAAATTAGATCTGTGGCCAGTAATAAGGTATATTTAATTCATTAATCGGATCCGGTTCTGGTTGAATCAATAGATCGAAAACGCATTTAAAATATATTTATAAATTAAACTATTTATTCACAAAATGTTAATCCATTTCTTTGCCTGCGTTCGATACAATTAAGTAATTCTTAAGGGATTTGATAAAAATAGATTATAGTGCAAAAACTATTAATTCATTTTAAGAATAAAATATTTAGTGATTTGATTAAAAACGATTTAACTAGTGATGTTTTTAGCTCCGGTCAAATTTAAAGTTTAATAATTCGTATATTGCATTTATTTAAACAGTATATTTAGTTATAATCATTACAACACAAACATTGGGTAAAAAATATTTTTGTTTCTTATATTTATAAGTGTTTTCATACGCTCTCGAAATCGTTGTGTCTCATTAAATAGAAATACACTGTGTTGTTTTTGGACTTTGCCTAAAGTCGATTTCCACCGGTGATCGTCAAAATCCTCCACGAATGAGCTCAAGGTTGGTTTGATGACTCAATTTTTTTTTTTTTCTCCTCTCGAACTTCTCCGAGATTCAAGATTTTACACGGTACATGTCCCATCAATGTTTAACTCAACGGTGCTATCCGATCGAGCGATATATTTCGCTTGCTAGTTTATGTACTTACAACACTATACGTTGTAAGTAAACGAGTCGCACTCGAATAAACCACATTCTAAACAATACGTATGCGTATATATATATATATATATATATATATATACAAATGGCTTTAGAAGGCACGCGAATACGACGAGCCTATTGTGTAATGCGGTTTTCCCGTGGCACTTGTTTTTCGTCCGAAAACACGTTTATGCTTTCAATTCTACATCGAGACACACACGTGCGTGGCCCTCGCACACGCGCAGCAGTCGATCGATTGACAACGGTGTGTCAGGAAGCACGACGTATACTTCGAGATTTTTGAATCAAGGTTTTGTCCGACACAGGTGATCGTGAAAATAACATTAAAAACCACTACCAACCTATTATTATTCCAGTTTATGTGTGTGTAGGTGTTTTTTATATGCATAAACACTAAATGTTTTCATCTTTCGAGAATGTAAATTAATTGTTATCGTTTTTCTTGTAAAACGTTCAAGAAAATTAATACTGTAGACTTCATACGCCGTAACAATAAATAACAAAGTAATCAATACTCGTATTATTATTATGTTCGACTTAATGCTATTCATCTTACTAATAAACCGTCCAACATTTTAAATTATTATTTATTTAATTTCGTAAGGTTATAATTGTAAAATACTCACAAATTGACTTTCTAACTTTTCTTACAATAATAATCGAAATTAGTTACGTTTATAAAATATCTGGTAACTTTAATCACTTTATTTTGAACTACTCCGTTTTGTCAAAATTGCTTTTTAAATTACTTAAAGAATATTAACAAAATTACAAATTTCTATCGCTTAACTTATTAATTTCATAAAGTATATTTTAAATATTACATAGCTTAAGAGGTTTTAATTATTATTTTTTATATGAAATTTCGATTTCCGGTAAGTATAATTTTTTTTTTTTTTTTTAAAAAGAAACTATGGTTGTTTTAAACAAGCTACGTTATAATTGTAATAATTTTTATTATGTACGAGTAGAGTATACTCATTTAACTCTCATTATATTTTATATTTGAATGCTAATTAATTTCATATATTTTTGAAATAATGCAAAAACATTATGATGTTGTGCTATTTATTTGACTAAATGGTAAAAGTGGTGAACTGAAGTAAAGAGTCGTGTTAGTGGAACTTGTTATTTTTATGAGTTTTGACTGGTAAGTAGAAAATATAAAAAAATTAGAAAAAAAAATTATTTTTATAGTTTTCTTTTACCTTTATTAGCAGTTCAATAAAATGTTTGTATTTATTCTTTGATATAACAATGGGCAAATGTATAAAGCGGTTTCCAGGTTTCCAAGTGTTATTTTAAAATGTTATAATTGAAAAAAAAATGTTTCCGTAGGGGCTTCTATAACTTACACTTTTATTATATTATTTATTGCAAAAATTCTTTTGAAAATTGCAAGTGAAAATAATATAATATAGTATACTTTTATAACTTGAGATTAAACCAGAAAAAAATAATAAATAGTAAAAGTACGAACGCTTTGGTTATTGCAAATGAAATAAACAATACAATATAAACATGAGACAAAAGGTAAATTAAAAAAAAAAAAAATGTTCATCCATATTATTTTTCTAAAAAAACTTCTTATAAATAAAAATGAATATAAACCAGATTTTTATCACAATATTTGTACGGTTCAAGGAAGTTTTTTTTTTATAAGTTATTATAAAATAAACTATAAAGTAAAAAAATCGCTTATAACCGATAAGTCTTTGCTAGATCGCATAATATAATATTATAATAGAAATACAAAAGGATAACAAGAAATTGTTTAATGACAAAGATTTAATGAAAGAATGAAAAATATTTTTTCTTCTTTTTTTTTTTAATGTTCAATATAAGTATATTACATTAAAAAAAAAAATCGAAATATCATTTTAGAAACGAATCATATTTTTTTTAACATCTGCCATTGCCCAGACTGCAAAAATTCGTTGTCGTAAGATTGACTAAATATCAATTATACAATCAAAAAATTGTTTTAATATTGAATGTGAGATTTTTAAAGTCCGTATAATATTACATCAATTTTATTTGGCCAGGTAAAAATATTGAATTGATGTTGTGTTTTAAATCATAATGCAATATTTACAACCAATATTAAACATTATTGCACTTATATTCTTTAATATTAATCAAATTTGTCATAATTAATATTTGTTCAATACTTCTGCAATATTATAGTCAATTATTGAATACATAACGTGTTAAGAATATTTAAGCAATGTTTATACTATAATAATAATTATTGAAATTATTATAATCAAATTTTGGACATTTCGCCGCAGACCGGTTTGCCTCCATACTACTCGCTGTTGCGCTATTCGCTGCCAAGAGAACATTGCCACGAAATATTATTATTATCGATTATGTACTTATTATTAAATATTGATAAACAACAATACTAAAGTTATGATATTTTTTCAAACTTCACCACTCGACTTTTTGCATGCGTTCATCCCTTATTGACATTCTTTGAGTTGTGAAACATAAATTTTAATATGTTCCTCAGCAGAGATGGAACTAGGAATTTTTACACCCGGAGGAAATGTTAAAATTACGCCCAATCATAGACTAATAATCAAATACTCTTCTCTAGAATTTTTTTCTAATAACTAATATACAATCATACTTAGTGAGTTTAAACCTAATATCAGTATTTAACAAAGTTAAAAATATCAAATTAGTTGTTATTAATTACAAAAATTACACCCTCTAAAATTTTACGCTCGGGGATGAATCCCTGTCTTCCACCCTTAGTTCCACCTCTGTTTCTCAGTTTGAATCAAGTACATTTTAACACATTGTTATATCTACATTATAATATTATTTTCGTCATTAATATAATTTGTATGTCAATAAAATTGAGGCCCTCAGTAAGTGACTATAGTCTATAATAGCAACATTACAGACAACATAACTATAAATAGGTACTAAACTACTAAATAATATAACAGCCATGATTTTACTATCGCACCGGATTTCCATGGAAAATAATTACTGATATCATCGATACCTATATACAGTAAAACCGAATTATTTATTGATTCATTTTAAAATAGGTACTTGCATAATATTAATTATCATCTACTTATCCTAATAATAAATGTATTGAAAATCAAATACAAAAAAAATCAAAATACTTTCGATGCACAAGCCACGAGAAAGCAACAAATAATTTTCTTTTTTTTTTTGGCTGAATATATTTTGAAACAGACCATCTTCAATTTTTAGCTATTACTTTGGGGGTCCCCAAAGAACCGGAGGCCCGGTTAATCTTAAAATATCAATTGGCTTTATAAGTACAAGTTAAAACAAAAATGATCATAGTGATGCTTTCAGCATCACAATTATAGCTGGAAACCAACTACTGCATGATTAGAATATGTGAACAATAAAATATAAGTTATACAATAGAAAAAGAAACACATTTTTAGACGGAATCAATATTATTATTAATAAATATAATCATCATTTTTTCTCAAACGTCCAGGTAAGTCTTGAGCAACTTGGGTTCACGATTTCTCGATCAAAGAATTCGGATGCACAATAGATACCTCTTTCGTTTCATCGTCTTTGTGTACGCACAAAAATATTAATGAAAACCCTTATACATGCTGCGTGCGCATTAATTGCATTAAGCGGTGAAGTTCCGTCTAAGTGTATAAAAACTTGGTATTACTAACACAATAGCCTGGATGTTTCTAATAGTTATTTTATGCAAATATTGTTCGTACAGAAATCTCTGCTGCAAACGTTTTGTTGTAAACATACTTCAGGTATTCATTACCACGTGATTCAATCTATTCCTGCGGCCCCATACCATATAAGCAAAATTCGTTAGATTTCCTCCGTTCAGTCACATATCATAACGGAATGTAATATTATTTAATATCAGTTTGTATTACGTTCGGATCGGTGAAACCTAGACTAACGTATAATATTTCACGTCAAAAATTGACGTAATGATTTACCGATCAGGGATATATTACATCGGTATTATTATATTTTGTTTAGTTTATTTTTTAAAATTTGTTGGCTGACCACATAGTTTTTCAAAAATAATACTCGTATAGCAATATGAAAGCTCTTTAACGAATGGTATAGTAACATTTAATCATTATACTATTATTCATAACAATGACAATAAGCACTAGGTTTGTGATGTGGTTGGCATTCTATGATTAGGTGTGCAAAGAATGTTGAGTAGTTTTTGATGTGGAAAATACGAAATACGAAAGAAATTGAGGATATAGAATCGGATCTGTTCAGAGTACCGTTCCATGGAACAGAAATACAATCAAGATCGATGTTGTGTTTGATGTTTTATATTGTGTACTTTAAGTACAATGTTTGCATCAAGTTTTAGTTAAAAAAAAAAAACATGATATCGTACACCGTTTTTTTGTTATTATTATAGGTTGTGGTCTTCTAGTGGACCTGATGAAAAAAGCCGTACAGACGAAAAACTTCACGGAGTTGGATATTGCGATCAAAACGCAAGTGGAACCGATGTTGTACAATAAGGGTGAAGGCAGGATGATACCTATCGCCAAACTCGTGTTGCTGAGAAATCGCGATCGGTCCAGAGCGAAATGGGTAAGTGTGCTTAAGAAATGGCTGCAGAATCGAATGAACAAAACAACGCAGTATGCTGGTTTCAATAATTGCTTTCTATAGTCATAGGGTTACAGCTTAATGTAAGTTTTAAGACAAAGAAACGCGTTTTCGTTTAATATATTATGGCTCTTGCAACAAATATTACAAAAAACACGAATTCGATATTACTTTTCAAATTACTGTTGTTATAAATTAGAAATATTTAAATATAAAAAAAAATTATAAAAATAAATAAGAAAGTCCATTTTGCAAGCGTGGTGAATTCTCGGTTTTCAAAGGTGCTTCAAACAATAAACAATAACTGTATACAAAGTTTATAAATAATTTAAAAACTCGTAAACCAAATACATTTTTGTGTAGAAACCTATATAAATCAAATACTTTAATTTGTAAATAAAGGATTTAATATTAAAATTGAAATATATTATACAATATATACAATATACAAATGTGCAAATGTGAATCTATATTATAATGAATACTTATTTTTGGATATTTTAGAAACACCTTATATCTCCGTTGTGTTCATCCGTCCATTAATTACGATTGCTTGTATTTATATATATACCTATTTATTTATTTATTTGTGGACCAGGACACGATATAATTCACAGAAATTAGATTAATGGTAGATTTAGATAGAACTCTAATAATTATAAATAAAAATATTGATTTAATTATTTTTAAATTCATATTAACCAATTTTAAAAAAACATCAAAATAAAATAACATAACATATTGCTAATTATACATTTCTATACAAGTTGTGAAATAATTATTTTCATTAATAGTGTTAACATATAAATATTAACCATATCGTATCCGGTAACGAATGGACGGATGGACACGGTAAGATGTTCTAAACTCATGTTCAGAAACGTAAGATTAATATCTATGGAGATATTTTCAACGGGAAAACGTGTTGGACCGCCCTGTATGCGATACTCGGCTGAACAACCGTGAGTTACACGTCACCATGATGTCTATGAATGGTGAAAAACCGCGATCAAAATACGCGTTTTCCAAACAACACATCGGTCGAACGTAACCTGCTGGAGGTGACGGTAGTTCTACGTTCAAGTATTTAAAACCTCTCCCAGCCGCGACGAGAGCAACATGAATTAAAGCATAGTGATTGTAGATTATTTAATAAATAAAACGGGAAATCCGCGACCTCTTCTGCAAATGCGTATTGAATTTTCAATCTACTTTTATGTAATACTTACGAAACGCTAAAACCTTCTGGAGTTTTTTTTTCATTACCAAACATCTCCCACAGGAAAACGTTTATAAACGTATATACATTACGTATTTTACTCGACCTTTAAATACACGTATTTCTTCTGCATACGGTAGCGATGCCATTACAAATTGGTAAACTTGAAATATAAAATTCCTAGGACCTAAGCCATGCCAAGGCGGTGGTTTTAGAGCTTTAACCCCTTCCACTAATAGTCTGGTTTTTTCCCGTACTGTTATTAAACAATCATAATTAAGAGTTTAAGATTTAAATTTTCCCTCTCCTTCTAATAATGGCATTATAGAAACGTATACTCGTGAACAGTCGATCGCTCTGTTGGCAACTGCTGTTTACATCATGTCGTACTGAGAGTTACTTTATTCCGATCACCGGTATTCGAACCATGTTGTTAGTGTTATTAGTATTATTATTTCGTGTTTCTATTCGTTTGGTGTTTTCCATCCCGGTACGACGTGTCCCGTTAGTCGCGCATCTGCAGTATGCCTCCATGTGCGACTAACATGCCGCGTAATCACACTGTTATCTGTATACTGTTTATAAATGTTTATAAATAATACTATAAATCCGTATCGACCGTATAATGGATATCGACCAGATATTAATAAAGTTAATAGTCAATAGAATAATAGATTATTTGTTTAGTGTTCAGTTCAGTCGTTTATTATCCTTCGTTGTTTTTGTGTTTCGCAACCACGTAACGTCGTATCATACGTAAAACGTATACGAGTAACCGACTATAAAGTTTTGTTTTTGGAGTCTAAAGATACATTTACATCTAATGGACACGTTTTATTTTATGTGCTACCTATGCGGTAATTTTTTTTTTTTTTTTAATTCATATTAGTGCATATTATAATGCATATTTTAACGATTTTAGAAGCATATTTGCAAACATATTTGTGTATTTTTTGGAGATATAAGTCCCTAAGTCTAATTATAATATATTTATAACAATTATGATGCATGGAAATTTTATCAAAAAAAATTTTATTTCACTAATAAAATAATATATTTTCACTACTAGCTTTTACTATAAAATATTAATGATAAATCTTATATTATAATTCCTTGCTTACAATAACAGCATATTATTTATGAAAATCTTATCGTCTAAAAGCAAAAGTTCGGAAAGTAAAAATGTTTCATTATTCCCACGACTTGATCCATGATAATAAATAATGTAATGTAATATTAACGAAAGATTAATTTTTATTTATCGTTTGGCAATACAATTTTACACGTATTTTATTATTACACACATGGTTATTCAGTATAAATAATCGAAACGCAATCGGAATTCAGACGTTTTTCTATTACAATAACTGGTACACAATCACGTTTACAATTAAACTGTCCATTTTTGACATGAAAACGAAATCGACTCAAAATTAAATATATTTGATATATATTGATAATTAAAATAAAATGTGAGCACCAGTAATAATTTAGAACTAGGTTTGATTTTAGGTTAGTAGAGGGAATAAAATATCCCTCTCGCTTTATGAATTATTTATTTAGTCGGCAATCATTAACAAATTAAGTAATATTAGTGTTACAGAATTGTGTTGTATAAAAAAAATTTAACAAATTTGTAAGTATTTAACCCATTTCCCCCCCTCCGTCAATATTTGTTATCGGTGGCCCTGTATGTCACCAAATTTGGATTCTTATAACTAGCAAACACTTAGAACTTATAACAACGCATCCCATTTTTCATCCAACCGGCATGACACTAGCTATAAGTTTACTCAGGAAGAATACTGTATATAACTTGAGAAAGAAATCTTTACTTTAACAATTTTTTTCTCCCATTAAAAAACAGACTGTATAACAAATGTACAAGAAATCCTTACTGCATCTTTGTAACTATTTTAATTAAATTAATTATATAATATATTTTTTATGATTTAATTTTAATATTTGAACTTTGTTATTACGAGTATTCTATCCAAACGGTGAAAACTTTTAGTTTTTAGACAGAGATCCATGTATTTTGTTTTTATTTATGAACAAGAACATTTTTCTAAACCTTTTGCCGCAAGCACCGTAATTGAATATTTATCATGCAGTTATTTCACTAAATTAACGTTTAAAGTTTAAGCGAATATTGTGCTGGTAGTGGTGGTTGTGGTGGGTACAAAATATATATTATCTCCAAGACATAATGTATTTATTTCGCTGTGCCTTATGTCTGCCTAAACTTTAAACATTAATAGTTAAACAACTACTACATGATTAATATTCGATTATGGTTCATTAAAAAAATAATCTCTTTTAACGGTTTTAAATAAAAAAAGTAAAATCACACTTCACAATATAATAAGTATTATAATATTTGAGTAGGATATCCCGAAGTGTATTTTATACATATTATTTGATAACCTTCAGCGTTGTATTCTTGCGATGAACTCGTTTTAGTAACTTACGTCTAAACTTTTATGATATTTTTACATTTTAGGTTGTCTACACGCAATGCACACCACAATGAATTATAACTTGAATATTATTGTGTTACACGTATTTATGTGATTATTATAATTTTTATTATTAGCGGTTGGATAATTTTATTGCGTTTTTGACATAGGATTTGATGAACTGATTGGGCACTTTTCGACACTCGCACAGAATTTGTGTTTAGATATTATTAATCACATTGCACTTGAATCATAAAATCAGCAAAGTCCATATGCACAACATATGCACGATAGAACTTTTTATTATTTTAAACAATTAAATTTCGACAGTTAACATTCGATGCGCCATGCAGTCATGAATTGTAACAAAAAACTCCTTGAAGGGTCTGATGAATATGATGTGTCACATAGAATAACGGAACGTTTGATTAAAATCAGTCTATTTTGAGGGTAGATATATTTATGATAACAACGGTGCACCGTCAGGCTCTTATTATTTGATTTGTGTTTATTGGTATTTATTAATTTTTAAAATATGACCATCTCGAATGACGCACACCGTTGCACGTCATCTACGAGCCAATTTGAGTAACAATTTACCCATTAGTGACACGGCCAAGAATTTAATAATATTTATTTCTGGTTTTTCACATTTTTTAATATTTAAGTGAAATTCAATGCAAATGTTGTATAATTTATTATATTACACATTAGAACAAAATATTTTCTGAGAAGTATCAATCATCATTGATCTAAAATTAAACATTATTTTCTTTTTTTAAATCACTTAAAATGGTCGCCACAAAATTTTAATAATTAATGTTTTTGGTAAATTTTACTGTAATTTTCGTCGTAATTTTCGGCAGATAAAATGTCTCAAATATGTTGAATAAAAATAAACTGAACAATATTTAAAACCAAATAATATTTTAAGTATGATAGTATGAGTATCATGCGCATATGTGGTGTTGTGTTGTATGAGTAACTAGTAAATATTTTGATTGTAAAAATACAATTTATTTCGCAAAAACGTTTACATTAGTATAAAAAATAAATCGATCGCCATTGCAAAAACTATATTTTTATTACTGTGTTTTTTTAATAAAAAAATTAAAACTTTCTCGTAAACACGGTTTTTATACTTATACCTGTATACACATATTTATAAATATATATATTATATATTTGTATTTATACCACAAATAATGTAGGTAGCGTATTTCATGTTATAAACGTTGAAAAAATGGTCCTTAAAATTAGGCAAGAATCATGATTTATGTTTTAACATAGATATGTCTTATCGC